TGAACCGTTCCCCTAATTTACCTGCTTCCGTAATGTCGTACGTCAATAGGCTATACTATGACGTAACACGTTTGTATAGCACTGTACATAAATATTAATAAACTTTGCCCAGTGTTTAGTAAGATACTGGACTTGGTTTCTTACGTGTATGTTTTAGCACAAATTGCTGTAATTTGGAACAAATTTATAAGCAAAATGTCAGGACGTAATACAAACAACTTGGTCATTTGTAACCTTTCTACCTGGTCTATTACTTGGATAATCAAAATCGGGTGGGGTGCGAGGGGGACTAAAACCTGGGACGAAGGAAATGATAAATACGACAGGAATTTTGTATGGAAATCAGTTGGAAAGAAGTAATTTTGAATGACGAGCAAAAAGTCTGGCAGCGATTATAATAGGAAGAGAAATGTGTTAACTTCAATGAGAACTAAATTACGATCCTGTTCAGAGCCTCGCTTTTGTGCTAGCGGCATTGAACGTTCTTGTTCATTGAATCTGTTTGCGTGTGCCCGAATTCAGTGAATTTTCTCTAATATTTGAGAGGAGACTGCAAAGTTACATGCCCGAGGAGCGCATCATAATTGCAGTTACTGGATTCTTCGATACTGTAACAGCAGATCAGTCACAGATCTTGTAGTCAGGTAATATTCAGGTAGGAAGTTTGTAACGCTCTTTAAAACGCCTGGTGCTTAGGCACTATGCGTCCAACAGATGTCGGAGAAGTTGCCTGGGAGCACGGCGATTAATTTCGTATACCGAAGAAAATTATTTTCAAACAACTAGCCTCTTGAAATTTGAAGGTTGATTGTGGTCTTCTGGGCTGTGGGGTCTGGATATCTTGCAGGCAGTTACCGACGTTTCGGTGGTACGCATCGCCTCAACATACTCTGCATTGTTTCATATTAGTCCGTTTCGTAAGGTTAGCAACACGCGTAGATGAACACGTGGTTTCAGGAAGTTCGAAGTGATGTGCAGTGGCGGAATTTCGAGATACATGTCAGTGAAGCTTCTGGAATTATTAATGCAGGACATTTCAAGTGCCCTTTACCAAGGAAGATACTGTATCAACGATAGCTATTGAACGTTTTTTAAAAAAAAATAAATTCCGTATTTTAACGTAATGAAAGAAAGTCTTTATTTATTACAAACTCGCCTCTGTCACTTGAAACAGACCTTTCCGCTGTTGAAATTAATAAAAGTCTTACAGTTCCATTTTGCAAAATGAACAGGTTGTGGGGCGCTGTGACTGGTGCCCTGAAGGCGGCTGTTTGGATAAGTCTGAGCCATCCGTGTCGTTGACTGGTTCAGTGACGATACTCAATGCGATTTAATTCCTGCCCTAATCGATACTTTTAGTGCATCTCTTTTATGAGATAATATGAAGCATTTTTTGAACAGCAGTTTTGTAGCTTGTATGGTTGTTCGATGTACGAAGAAGTCATCACGCCTGATAAGCGAACCTTCCGTTCCGGACACTCCCTCGGGAACAAAATCAACAGCTTGTATCAAAGTACTTTAATGTTTAATTCTTCTATATTATATTTTTATTGAGTTTAACAGAATTAAATTATATTGAAATAAGTACAGCCAATCACTACATTCAGAAAATTACAAGAATCAAGAAATTTAATGAACTAGTTCATTAAATTCAATAACTTCACGAACGCTGGTTGTGGAAATCAGCGGAGTATAGTGGTATGTGGAGGGGAGAAATATTTTGTCATTTTATGGAAAGGGTTTCGGATTATTGTGAGCAAAAATTGCGTTACGCTACGCTGCGTGCAACGTAGACTGATTCAGTGAAAATAGAAAATTTTAATATTAGTAGGAAGATGAAGACTATTATAAATGGGAATTTTATTTGGACGACTGTCTTCCAGGATGTTACGCCGTGTATTCTGGCAGGCGGTTGCCACACTACACGGCGTACCGTCCAGAACACTCATCTTCAAACTGACGGGAAGTCTCGCCAGGATTGAACCAATTCTTCAAGTTCAGCGAGGACTTCAAATTTGTATTTTAGCAAACAAGAATCAGACGACGGAAAGAGTAAGGGGGGACTTTCGCAGCTGATAATTCACACATTTCAGAACATTTGAGGAGTATTAAGACATTTGGTTTCTCAGTCCTGTTCGACTTCCCAAAAATTCTCTGGACTTTGAATCATCTTCTTCGGAATCTGAATCATCGTGTTTGGAACCTGAATCGTCTTCTTCGGAGCTTGAGCCACTATCTTTGGGTGTCGTACTAGTATCTTGTGTTGTGGTTGTGGACGTCGTTTCAGGAGTCGTGGAAGGTTCTTTGGGTGTCGTACTAGTATCTTGTGTTGTGGTTGTGGACGTCGTTTCAGGAGTCGTGGAAGGTTCTTTGGGTGTCGTACTAGTATCTTGTGTTGTGGTTGTGGACGTCGTTTCAGGAGTCGTGGAAGGTTCTTTGGGTGTCGTACTAGTATCTTGTGTTGTGGTTGTGGACGTCGTTTCAGGAGTCGTGGAAGGTTCTTTGGGTGTCGTACTAGTATCTTGTGTTGTGGTTGTGGACGTCGTTTCAGGAGTCGTGGAAGGTTCTTTGGGTGTCGTACTAGTATCTTGTGTTGTGGTTGTGGACGTCGTTTCAGGAGTCGTGGAAGGTTCTTTGGGTGTCGTACTAGTATCTTGTGTTGTGGTTGTGGACGTCGTTTCAGGAGTCGTGGAAGGTTCTTTGGGTGTCGTACTAGTATCTTGTGTTGTGGTTGTGGACGTCGTTTCAGGAGTCGTGGAAGGTTCTTTGGGTGTCGTACTAGTATCTTGTGTTGTGGTTGTGGACGTCGTTTCAGGAATTGTGGAAGGTTCTTTGGGTGTCGTACTAGTATCTTGTGTTGTGGTTGTGGACGTCGTTTCAGGAATTGTGGAAGGTTCTTTGGGTGTCGTACTAGTATCTTGTGTTGTGGTTGTGGACGTCGTTTCAGGAATTGTGGAAGGTTCTTTGGGTGTCGTACTAGTATCTTGTGTTGTGGTTGTGGACGTCGTTTCAGGAATTGTGGAAGGTTCTTTGGGTGTCGTACTAGTATCTTGTGTTGTGGTTGTGGACGTCGTTTCAGGAATTGTGGAAGGTTCTTTGGGTGTCGTACTAGTATCTTGTGTTGTGGTTGTGGACGTCGTTTCAGGAATTGTGGAAGGTTCTTTGGGTGTCGTACTAGTATCTTGTGTTGTGGTTGTGGACGTCGTTTCAGGAATGGTGGAAGGTTCTTTGGGTGTCGTACTAGTATCTTGTGTTGTGGTTGTGGACGTCGTTTCAGGAATGGTGGAAGGTTCTTTGGGTGTCGTACTAGTATCTTGTGTTGTGGTTGTGGACGTCGTTTCAGGAATTGTGGAAGGTTCTTTGGGTGTCGTACTAGTATCTTGTGTTGTGGTTGTGGACGTCGTTTCAGGAATTGTGGAAGGTTCTTTGGGTGTCGTACTAGTATCTTGTGTTGTGGTTGTGGACGTCGTTTCAGGAATTGTGGAAGGTTCTTTGGGTGTCGTACTAGTATCTTGTGTTGTGGTTGTGGACGTCGTTTCAGGAATTGTGGAAGGTTCTTTGGGTGTCGTACTAGTATCTTGTGTTGTGGTTGTGGACGTCGTTTCAGGAATTGTGGAAGGTTCTTTGGGTGTCGTACTAGTATCTTGTGTTGTGGTTGTGGACGTCGTTTCAGGAATTGTGGAAGGTTCTTTGGGTGTCGTACTAGTATCTTGTGTTGTGGTTGTGGACGTCGTTTCAGGAATTGTGGAAGGTTCTTTGGGTGTCGTACTAGTATCTTGTGTTGTGGTTGTGGACGTCGTTTCAGGAATTGTGGAAGGTTCTTTGGGTGTCGTACTAGTATCTTGTGTTGTGGTTGTGGACGTCGTTTCAGGAATTGTGGAAGGTTCTTTGGGTGTCGTACTAGTATCTTGTGTTGTGGTTGTGGACGTCGTTTCAGGAATTGTGGAAGGTTCTTTGGGTGTCGTACTAGTATCTTGTGTTGTGGTTGTGGACGTCGTTTCAGGAATTGTGGAAGGTTCTTTGGGTGTCGTACTAGTATCTTGTGTTGTGGTTGTGGACGTCGTTTCAGGAATTGTGGAAGGTTCTTTGGGTGTCGTACTAGTATCTTGTGTTGTGGTTGTGGACGTCGTTTCAGGAATTGTGGAAGGTTCTTTGGGTGTCGTACTAGTATCTTGTGTTGTGGTTGTGGACGTCGTTTCAGGAATTGTGGAAGGTTCTTTGGGTGTCGTACTAGTATCTTGTGTTGTGGTTGTGGACGTCGTTTCAGGAATTGTGGAAGGTTCTTTGGGTGTCGTACTAGTATCTTGTGTTGTGGTTGTGGACGTCGTTTCAGGAATTGTGGAAGGTTCTTTGGGTGTCGTACTAGTATCTTGTGTTGTGGTTGTGGACGTCGTTTCAGGAATTGTGGAAGGTTCTTTGGGTGTCGTACTAGTATCTTGTGTTGTGGTTGTGGACGTCGTTTCAGGAATTGTGGAAGGTTCTTTGGGTGTCGTACTAGTATCTTGTGTTGTGGTTGTGGACGTCGTTTCAGGAATTGTGGAAGGTTCTTTGGGTGTCGTACTAGTATCTTGTGTTGTGGTTGTGGACGTCGTTTCAGGAATTGTGGAAGGTTCTTTGGGTGTCGTACTAGTATCTTGTGTTGTGGTTGTGGACGTCGTTTCAGGAATTGTGGAAGGTTCTTTGGGTGTCGTACTAGTATCTTGTGTTGTGGTTGTGGACGTCGTTTCAGGAATTGTGGAAGGTTCTTTGGGTGTCGTACTAGTATCTTGTGTTGTGGTTGTGGACGTCGTTTCAGGAATTGTGGAAGGTTCTTTGGGTGTCGTACTAGTATCTTGTGTTGTGGTTGTGGACGTCGTTTCAGGAATTGTGGAAGGTTCTTTGGGTGTCGTACTAGTATCTTGTGTTGTGGTTGTGGACGTCGTTTCAGGAATTGTGGAAGGTTCTTTGGGTGTCGTACTAGTATCTTGTGTTGTGGTTGTGGACGTCGTTTCAGGAATTGTGGAAGGTTCTTTGGGGGACGTCGTTTCAGGAATTGTGGAAGGTTCTTTGGGTGTCGTACTAGTATCTTGTGTTGTGGTTGTGGACGTCGTTTCAGGAATTGTGGAAGGTTTATCAGGAGTCGTGGAAGGTTCTTCAGGAGTTACGGAAGGTTTTCCGTGCGTAGTGGAAAGTTCTTCGGGGGTAGTTGAGGTTTCTTCAGGAGTCGTGGATGGTGTTCCAGGAGTTGTGGAAGGTTCTTGAGGAGTTGTTGAAGGTTCTTTTGGAGTCGTGGAGAGCTCTTCTGCAGTTGTAGGAACTTCCTTTGGAGTCGTGGCGGATTCTTCAGGAGATTTTGAGGGCTCTTCAGGTGTGGTAACAGGTTCATCCGGTCGTTTTGTAGGTTCTTCAGAAGTGACGGCGGGTTTTTCGGGAGTCGGAACCGCCGTGGTGTGTGGTTTAGCTGGATGTGCCGTGGTGTGTGGTTTAGCTGGATGTTTGTGTGCCACGCAACCAGAGTCGAAGGGGAACTGACAGATATCCAGAATCGGATTCCAGTAGAGGCCATCTGGACAAAAGTTCAGTCTAGCAGTTCCATCTTCGCACTTGTAGAAAGCTGAGCAGTCGCTTGGGTGCGGGAAGAACAGATTTGCTGTTCCCACTCGTCGGGCGACTGAACACGACGGCACTGGCCAGGACCATGCCGTGGGGAGAATGCAGAGCAGGGCCGACATCAGCGCCACGCACTTGGGTGAGACGTAATCTGAAACAAAATACTCTGTGTTATCTGACACCGTAGGTCGCCTTATTGTTATGCCTAAATGTTGCGAGTAGCACAAACGACTTTCGGTTGTTTCGTCTCGTCCTGCAGCCGATCAGCTTTGATGCTAGCAACTGAAGTTCTGATTCTTTTTAATTCGTTTCAGTCAGAAGCTGGTCATTTTGTGGAGTGTATTTTTTATTTACTGGAACAACAAATTTATTCAACAGGTAGGCCACGCCGCAATGGTAAAAGAACACAGCACAAACAAAAATAAAGCGATGACCCGTGTCTCTTCATGCGAAGAGCGACGTGCAAAACGAAAAACAGCTGAAGTGATGAGCTGTTTTCAGCTGTAACCAAAACATTGCGTGTTGTTGAAATCGGTGACTAATACATTACTGATTCTTCCTTTATTTAATCGTGTGTTTCATAGCACTAATTATTTAGCGTCCAGTCGTAGGACGATTTGCCAGGATTTGGAAGGAGGCGATCGTGGCCTGTTACAAAGTACTGTCCCTTCTTTTACCTGGAGGGACTGAGAAAACACACAAACATCTTGAATGAGTGCAGCTGCTCCCCGGGGCGAGCGCTAACCACTAGTTTATCGAGGGCGACAATCCTTGGTCTTGTCGCCCTGAAATATCTGGTGAAGTTCACAAACCATGGAGTTCGTCATTATGTAATTTTGACCAACCACACTGTCGTTTTCCTCAGCCGCTGTAGGTCAATGATGCGGTAATAACTCCCCTGTGCTACTTCAAGCACAACCTTCTTCCACGACGAACAGATTCGCCACACGAAATCATCATCTTTGCCGCTCGGTGCCGTATGCATGTACACACGTGCACACGCACTAGACGACATCGAATGACAAACAAAGACGAAACATTAAAGCTCAAAAAAAATTTGATTCTTTACCTTTCATGACTAAACTTTTGCAAGTCTTTTCCACCAGTTAGTTCACTTGAATGAATGGAAGATTTTTGCGATCTGCTCTTTATATAGGCACTTTAAATTGTGTTTAAACTTTGGTCCTATCAATTAAAGGCGATAATAAGCTCCAATTTGAGAACAATCGTTACCTACGTTATCATTTTATTGTGACGAGCTTATCTAACGCTTGTAATTGCTAAATACGATTAATATTTGAGAATAAAAGTGATACATGTTGATATACGAGGTGCGATCGGAATGTTTCCAGACTGCGCCTATAAAAACCCGTACACTTATCTCAGGTATTAAATTCATCCATCACCCTCGAAGTAGTTCCCCTGGGAGTGAACACAACGATCCCA